TGGTCAGGCTGGTCTCAAACTCCTGACCTCGTGATCCACCCACCTTGGCCTCCCAAAGTGCTGGGATTACAGGCGTGAGCCACCGCACCCAGCCTTAGTTCAAATATTTTTTAGACAAATGTAAAATACATCTATAACTCAAAGGATAAATGCTTGAGGGAATGGATATCCCATTCTCCATGATGTGCTTATTTCACATTGCATGCCTGTATCAGAACATCTCATGCACCCTATAAATATATACACCTACATGTACCCACGACAATATTTAAAAATGTAAAAATAATTTTTGCTTATACTAAAGCATAAATTGAAAGAGCAAAGAAAACTGGAAAGCTCATTTGTATTTACTGTAAATGTATCAATTCAGTAAAATCTCTATGGACATGTAAGTAAAATATACGAATGCCAATAGCAAATGGGTTAAAATTCTCTTTCTTTAAAAGAGAAATAAATTGCAGATTCTACTAATAAGGAATTGCTAATCTAAAAAAAAATCTACAAGCGCCAGGCACGGTGGCTCACACCTGTACTCCCAGCACTTTGGGAGGCCGAGGCAGGTGAATCACCTGAGGTTGGGAGTTCCAGACCAGCCTGATCAACATGGAGAAACCCTGTCTCTACTAAAAATACAGTATTAGCTGGGCATGGTGGCACATGCCTATAATCCCAGCTACTCGGGAAGCTGAGGCAGGAGAAATGCTTGAACCTGGGAGGCAGAGGTTGCGGTGAGCTGATATCACACCACTGAACTCCAGCCTGGGCAACAAGAGCGAAACTCTGTCTCAAAAAAAAAAAAAAAAAAATCTACAAGCTAGAAGAAAATATAATGTATTAGAATATCAAGGTCTTTCCCCACAGGCCTCATATTTATTTTTGGTAAACTAAACAGAGATAAAAGTAATCTACGTTACAATTTGAGATAGTGATTTCTGTTGAGAAGCCACAAAAATGTTCATAGGGATTTTCTAAGAACTTTTTTTTTTGCATCCAGAATTAATAAATACAGTGTATCATTATTTTAAAGACATGTTTAGGGAAAAGACCAGCTTCTCTTCCCCTTAAAGTTATTGGTGGTGGGAGGGCAAGAGAGGAAGAGATGACAGCTTTTTTATTTATTTATTTTTTTATTTTTTGAGACAGAGTCTGGCTCTGTCGCCCAGGCTGGAGTGCAGTGGCCGGATCTCAGCTCACTGCAAGCTCCGCCTCCCGGGTTCACGCCATTCTCCTGCCTCAGCCTCCCGAGTAGCTAGGACTACAGGCACCCACCACCTCGCCCGGCTAGTTTTTTGTCCAGCCAATTTTTGTATTTTTAGTAGAGACGGGGTTTTACCATGTTGGCCAAGATGGTCTCCATCTTTTGACCTCGTGATCCACCCACCTCAGCCTCCCAAAGTGCTGGGATTACAGGTGTGAGCCACCATGCCCGGCCAGAATCTAGGTTTTAAGGATAATTTGGAAGACCTAAATAACTGCATAATTTCTTAAGCAATTATTACCATTTTTGTGTTATATGAACATGATCTAGTACAGTTAGTTCATTTTCAATTATTTTTTCATCATTCAAAATAAAACAAATCCAAATTTTATTTTAAAATAGAATTTATTGAATACCATAGTAAATTAAATACATAAAAAATTGTTTTTCTTGTCAGTATTGGCACATAATGATAGTTTAAAGTACTGCTAAATTAACACTTCAAAAATTTCAAATTTTAAAACATTCCATAAAAATATAAAGCCTAATAGTGTTATAAAAGTATTAATTTACACTAACTTACATATCAAAGTGTTAAAAAAGAAATTTCACACTCAAACCAATTATCTGAGAAGTAAAAATTCAATCACATGTTTTTAAAAATGTTTTCATTTGAACAAAATGCAACAGAAAGTATAAAACAGGCAAAAATTACTTAATTTACATTGACTTATCCTACTAGAAAATGTTGCAGGTTAACTTTAGACATTAAAAAGATTCATATTCCAAAGGAATAGAAAAGCTGTTTGCAATACTTTTTACGCCTAATCAAAGAACCACATGATGACATTAAATATTCTACATTTTGTGGGTTGCTCCTTAATTGCCAGTAATGGAGGACTACTATAAAAATTTAGTTTTAAAAATAATTTTTCTCCCAATGAACATTTTATATACAGAGGCTGTCCTAAGTATGGAAAGATTAAACAAGGACATTTATACTTATGATCTTCACTATAATATGGCCTATGTATTACCCTGTCAATTTTTTTTACTCTGAAAATTCAGTAATCTCACATATGAGTATTACAGTAGAGGATCAAATTCCAAAGGGTTGAGTAATTTGATTCAGATCTCTTGAATTTAGAGTACTTTTCCTCCAGGAAATGTATAAAGTTATTTATTTTATGTTATATATCTTTATTTATTTGAGATGGCATCTTGCTGTCACCCAGGCTGGAGTACAGTCACTGTTCACAGGCACAATCACAGCTCACTACAGCCTCAAACTCCTGGGCTCAAGAGACCGTCCCATCTCAGCCTCCCAAATAGCTGGGATTACAGGTGCATGCCACCAGACCTAGCTTATATTCAATATTTTGGTTTTATTTGCATTACTGTCACTAACCTTTATTTCCTCTGAGGTAAATAGGGCACTGCTAATGAATTTTTTTTAAACTGTAGAACTAGTTATTTGGCAACATCTTAAATAAATTCAACTTTTTTCCTTGACAATGAAAGCCTTTCAGACCACTACATTCCACTGTACTAGTCTACACTGAACTCCATTCAATTATAGACTGAAGTACAGTTTTTGTTTTTGAAATTTCATTGGTTAAGATCAGGCTGAAATTATAGAGATCAAGCTTA